ATTGGTAAACTAAAGTTTTTATTTCGTAACCTGAACTTGTTATCTGCCATAGTATTGTTGTCATTTCCTATACTGAAGTTCTGATTTGCTATAGTGACATAGAGCTTTGTCATTGTTAAGTTGTAATTTGGCAAACTTAAGTTGTTATTCGCAATACTTATGCTGTGATTGGCCATATTGAACTTATCAATAGGTAGACTGACTTGTGATTTTGTATATTGAACTTGTCATTCGGTATAATGAACTTGTCATCTGCGATACGTGAGTTGTGATATGGTTTACTGAACTTGTCATTCGGTATAATGAACTTGTCATTGCCATACGTGAGTTGTGATATGATTTACTGAACTTGTAATTCTGTATAATGAACTTGTGATCTACCATACCTTAATTGTAATTTGGTTTACTGATGTTGTCATTCGGTATGATCAACTTGTCATCTGCCATACACGAGTTGTGATATGGTTTACTGAACTTGTCATTTGGTATAATGAACTTGTCATCTGCCATACGTGAGTTGTGATTTTGTTTACTTAACTTGTCATTCGGTATAATGAACTTGTCATTTGCCATACGTGAGTTGTGATATGATTTACTGAACTTGTAATTCTGTATAATGAACTTGTGATCTACCATACCTTAATTGTAATTTGGTTTACTGATGTTGTCATTCGGTATGATCAACTTGTCATCTGCCATACACGAGTTGTGATATGGTTTACTGAACTTGTCATTTGGTATAATGAACTTGTCATCTGCCATACGTGAGTTGTGATTTTGTTTACTTAACTTGTCATTCGGTATAATGAACTTGTCATCTGTCATACCTAAGTTCTGATTTTGTTTACTGAACTTGTAATTCTGTATAATGAACTTGTGATCTGCCATACCTGAATTGTAATCTGGTTTACTGAGGTTGTCATTCGGTATAATAAACTTGTGATCTGCCATACCTAAGTTGTTATTTTGTTTATTGAACTTGTAATTCTGTATAATGAACTTGTGATCTGCCATACCTGAATTGTAATCTGGTTTACTGAGGTTGTCATTCGGTATAATAAACTTGTGATCTGCCATACCTAAGTTGTTATTTTGTTTATTGAACTTGTAATTCTGTATAATGAACTTGTGATCTGCCATACCTGAATTGTAATCTGGTTTACTGAGGTTGTCATTCGGTACAATAAACTTGTGATCTGCCATACCTAAGTTGTGATTTTGTTTACTAAACTTGTAATTCTGTATAATGAACTTGTGATCTGCCATACCTGAATTGTAATCTGGTTTACTGAACTTGTCAATATGTCATAGTGAAGGTGTCATTTTCCATAGTGAACTTGTTGTTGTATATACTTACTTGATTAATGTCTTTTACATGCAGGAGCTGAAGAAGTTACGTGAGCGCCTAATGAAGAGGATAGAGGAAGGGCAAAAGATGCTAATGAAAATGGTGGATGAGGAGTTGGTGAAGGTGCAAATCCCAAGACAGGGAGATGGTGGGAAGGGTAAATCAAGAGGAAAGGCTCGGGTTGAGACAGTGCCTACAAATAGAAGTGACTCTGAAGATGATGAGGAGGAGAGGCGCAACAATGATGACACAACTGAGGAAAAGGAGAAGGATGAAGTAAGCAGTGAAGATGGAGACAGTCATGGGAAGGGCGACACAGAGAATGACAGCGACAATGAAGAGATGGAGGAAGAGGGTCAAGGGGATGGTGATGACAGGAGCGAAGGGGAGAGGGAATACAAGGGTGATGCAGAGGGTGACATACCTGCAGCCAGTCCCCCTAGGGAAGTGTCACCCACCATTGAAGGTGATGAGGCAGAAGGTCACTCACCGATGGAGGTATCCCCCCTGGCCATTGTTGAATATGTTGGGCCTGATCCAGAACCTGTATCTGTGGAGGCACAACAACTAAGGAGATCTACTAGGGTTCGGTTCAGCAAGATCAAGTCTCCTTGGTTGGAGTTGAAGGCACAATCAAGAGTGAAGAGGCCTATGGAGCCCAAGGATATTTTGTTCAACTTAGTCAGCCGAGCTGTCAAAGGTGATGAGGGTGAGATGTAAGTGAAAATCTTTGCTTATGTGATCTTATTTGTTGACTACATGTTAACATAACACATCTAGTAACTCACTTGAATATGTTTCAGTCCTTTGATCAGAATGTTTGATGAAGACATCCCCCGACGATTGCTGCATTCGCTTGGTGGAAATAACAGGGTGAGTAACCGAGTGATGTCGTTGGTCTGTAAGGCTTTGGTGCAAGAGCAGCAGGCAGTTGAAGGCCGAGTTAAGAGGCATATATTTGATGCAGACTTCATGGTGAGGTTTCTGTATTACTAATAGGCTTTGTTGATTTACAAGATTGGAAATGAAAATGACAGAATAAAGTGTGTTACAGTGAATAAGAACTTGGTTTTCTGCATTTCACAGGCCATAATGACCCGTGATCCAGCTCGTTGGGATCCTAACCAGCATGCACGACAAATACTTCCGCATTATGTTGGCTACAACATAGGTGACTGTGACTTGATTCTGGGTCCTGCTCTAGTTGGGGAGCATTGGTTCTGTTTTGCATTCGAACCAAAGACCCAGAAGTTTAATGTCCTTGATTCCATGCGAGCAAGTTTACAGCGTAAGAAGACCACCTCCAAGCAGAAGAAGGCAGCCACATATGACCCCCAAGAAATGGCCATCACCGGATGTGTAAGATGTTACTGACCTGTGCATGTTAGATAGGGAAATGACAGTTTTATATTGTTATCCTTTTGATGAATATGGCATATGTGCAGAGGGATCGGTTTGAAGACATACTTCACATGGTCAGACCAGATTTTAGTGATAACTTGGAAATTGTCTGGCCTGATGTACCACAGCAGAAAAATTTGTGAGTGTATACACCCTACTCATGTGATATGTTATTTGGCTGTGTTGGTTTGAGGAGCTGAAACTGTTAGGGTGGTGTTGTGGGCAGGAGGGACTGTGGTGTGCATGTGCTCATATGGCTCAAGAAATGGGAGCCTGATGTTTCCCTTGAATATACCGAGGTATTGACATTACCTTATTTATTGTGCAATCAAGAGTGACCACGTGTGACTTGTTTGGTGGTAAACTTGCTGTGCAGGCTGATGTGTCCTCTTTTCGGCGCGAGCTGATGTGGTGGCTGGTGAACCATGATGACAATGAATGCCGTCAGAATGTGTATGATCTTATCTCACAACCAGAGAAGGGCCGAATGACCAAGAAGAGGAGAACGTCTTTATAGAGAGCATTTAAATTAGGCTGTGACTTTTACTAACTTTGTCAATTGATTCATTTGTTGAAATTGTATGCCAATTATTGTAATGGTTATGATATGCTTGGATTGATGGTATAACAGCACTTATATTTGGAATGACAAATTTCCCTTTAGTCAGGCCAAATGGCCAATGACAAGTTTAGTACAGGTAACGACAAGTTCATTATGGCCAATGACAACTTGTGAAAAGGTTTTCATACAAATTTGTGATTCTGTATTAAAGGTGGCTAAATTTGCACATTGATTCACGGAATGAGAGGTTGACAAAGGAAAATGACAAGTTGACAATGCCAAATCACTGGTTCCCAAGATGTTTTCATGCAAGGGAAAATTTCTATTCCAATTAGTGGAATTCCACTTATGACAATCACAGAATGACAGGTTCACTAACGAAATTGACAAGTTGACTAGTGAAACTTACAAGTTCCCATAAGGTTTTCGTGAAACCGAGATTTTCCGTTGAGATGAGTGGATTCCCACTTATGATAATCACGGAATGACAAGTTCACTAAGGAAATTGACAAGTTGACTTGGGCAATTTACAAGTTCCGATAAAGTTTTCATGAAACCGAGATTCTCTGTTGAAACTAGTGGATTCCCACTTACGATAATCATAGAATGACAAGTTCACAAACGAAAGTGACAAGTTCACTAGCGAAAGTTACAAGTTCGAATAATGTTTTCATGAAACGACTGGATTTTCACTACTGGTAAACACAAGGTTACAACTTAGAAAGGGAAATGACAAGTTTATTATGGAAAATGACAATTTCCCAGAAGGTTTTAATACATTTTCATACTTTTGAAGACAGTGATTACATTGCACATTTCTGACAGCAACCACTTCTGATAAACACGGAATGACAACTTCATATTGCCAAATGACAACTTTACTATGCCAAATGACAAGTTCCTATAAGGTTTTGACACATTTCGTTTTCTGACAGCAACCACTTCTGATAAACACGGAATGACAACTTCATATTGCCAAATGACAACTTTACTATGGCACATGACAAGTTCCTATAAGGTTTTGACACATTTCGTTTTCTGACAGCAACCACTTCTGATAAACACGGAATGACAACTTCATATTGCCAAATGACAACTTTACTATGGCACATGACAAGTTCCTATAAGGTTTTGACACATTTCGTTTTCTGACAGCAACCACTTCTGATAAACACGGAATGACAACTTCATATTGCCAAATGACAACTTTACTATGGCACATGACAAGTTCCTATATGGTTTTGACACATTTCGTTTTCTGACAGCAACCACTTCTGATAAACACGGAATGACAACTTCATATTGCCAAATGACAACTTTACTATGGCACATGACAAGTTCCTATATGGTTTTGACACATTTCGTTTTCTGACAGCAACCACTTCTGATAAACACGGAATGACAACTTCATATTGCCAAATGACAACTTTACTATGCCAAATGACAAGTTCCTATAAGGTTTTGACACATTTCGTTTTCTGACAGCAACCACTTCTGATAAACACGGAATTACACTTTGCACATTTCTGACAGCAACCACTTCTGATGAACATGAAATTACAAGTGCACAAAAGCAAATGACAACTTAACTATGCAAAATAACAAGAAGTGACAAGTTCTGATTTCTTTGACAGCAACAAGTTCTTTACAACATTCAATGACAAGTGCACATTAACTTACATCTTCCACTTAATGTCCCTTTGTCCCAAACATAGAAGTAACAAAAAATATATGTGCACATCTACTAACATCCTGCTCCCAAAAAAATTAAGAAGGATGAACCCTATATGTGCCAAAAAAATTAGTTGTCCCATTTGTAAGTGGAAGTCAACTTGGGTTAGGATTTTTGCATGTCCTCTTTGTATGTCTAGGATGAAGACATCTAGTGCAATGATATATTTTTTTGTTGTGGAATTGTGATTCCTTTCTATTTCTTCTTGGTCTTCCAGAAGGCCTAGCAGTGACTAGGGGTAAAAGCAAGGGTTGAGCAGTAAGATTCTCAAACGTATAGTCATTCAGGTGAGGCATATCAATTGTCACCACTGGAACCATGCTCCGGGCATAGATTTTTTCTTGGGATGAACGTTTGTAACACTCTTCAACATAATCATAAACGTTTCCCCCTATGGTCTTAATGGCTGCACAAGCATGTGAGCATGGAATCCCTAACATTTGCCAAGTTCCACAGCTACATTTGTGTAGGCCAAGGTCCACTCTTTGGTCTCCACGTGATGTGTGCACGCATATTCTTCCCCCTCCATAATTCTCACAGTGCATGTACCTACCGAAATACACATGCTCCAATACTTTTGCCTCTATTTTTGGCCCAACGCAATTACTCCACTTAGTCATTACTGCATATGATGCATGCATCTTTCTTGCTACTTTCTCCCGGTGCTCATGGATCATTTGGGCCACGTTATGCTTCCCCTCCCTTACCATCCAAGCATTAAAAGATTCAGCTAAATTAGTTGTTATGTTGTCCCACCTTCTATATGGGAACTTGCTCAATGCCCACCTATCCACATCACCTTGATTGATAACCCACTCATATAACTCATGAGACATGGTTCTGAGATCATCCAGCGCATGATCAAACTCATCCGCAAGTCTTGCATAAGCCACTTTATCCAGTACCTTTAATGCATCTTCCTTTGAATTTTCACTTGTCCTTCTCCGACCTCTGTTTAATTTCATATATTCAGAGCTAAAGTTCTCCTTCACATGCCTATAACAGTATGCATGCCTTTCACCCCCAAATATTGCTTGCACAGCACCAATTATAGAATTATGTCTATCTGACACAATAGTCAGTTGCATTGAACCAACAATTTGTTTAATCTTGTGAAAAAACCACGTCCAGTCATCAAGATTCTCTCCCTTCACCACTGCTATTGCAAACGACAACATCTCATTATCCGCATCATATACCGAAGCTGACAGTAATGTCCCCTTATATGGACCACTTAAATGAGTACCATCAACATATAATATAGGCCTTGCACCGTTCAAAAAACCCTCAACACATGCACCGTATGCAATGAACACACGCTCAAATCTATTACCAATGGAGGCCTATTCAGCAACCGTTTTGTCATCAGTTTCCTTCAACCTTTCACATAACCATGGTATTAACATATAGGACTGTTCCGGTTTCCCATGTATTTCTTCCATTGCCTTTTCCTTTGCTCTATATGCCTGACAATATGTAAGCCTCACACCATACTCCCTCTCCAACATCTTCCTTATCTCAGTGGGCCGTTTTTCAGCATGGTCCCTTATCTCTTCAACTATTACTGATGATGTCAACGCAGCACTCCCACCATAAGTCACAATCAAATTGTCTTGGGCTGAATGAATGTGCTTATTGCAAAATGTAGTCACACGTAATAGATGACTGTTCTTTCCAACAGCATTTGCACATATCTTCCAAGGACACCCTTCTACTTTACACCTCACATTCATCTTCTCCTTACTATTCCTGATATATCTTGCTGCAAACTTCTCTGCAATACTGAACCTCTACACAGCTTCCCTAAAAGCAACAGCATGTGGAACATATTGGCCCACTCCTACAAACACTCCTGCCCATTTCGTACAATTCATCTCGCCCGTCAGTCTTCCCTGACTCTCTGAACATATTGTGATTTTTTTCTCTTTACTCTATGGTAAGTGAATTTTATTTTATAATTCATTGTATCTTTTATTTGTTTTTATTTAAAATTTACTAACATATTTATTTCTCCTTTCCTTTCAGATTTTTCTTCTCCACATTTGTCGTGCCCTCCTCAACTGATTCAAATACTCATCAACTTAATACTATAGGTTCAATATTCCAAAATATATCATCTTCAATTCAACTATCTTATTAAATATTCAATTAAATTATCTTGTTAGATTAAATTCACTTCTTTTAACACATTCATAATTTAATTACATATTTTTTATTACAAAATTTGAATATATAAAATGTAACTATAACTAATTATACAAATTAACAAAAATTCTTCAAATAATTTATTTAATGGTTTTTAAAATTATAATATGAAAAACCATAAATTTTTTTTTCTGGCACGGTAAACATTTCTAGCGGTTCAGAACCGCTAGAAATATTTCGTCAAATTTAAATTTCGCACCAAACTTTCTAGCGGTTAAGAACCGCTAGAAAATTTTCCCGCCATTCTAAAAATTCAATTGGTGTGAAAATTTAATTTCCCAAATATTTCTAGCGGTTCTATAACCGCTAGTAATTTTCGCGCGCTACTGAAATTATTTAATTCCCGTTTAGCAGGTTTCTAGCGGTTACAAACCGCTAGAAATTTTTTCCGGGAAACTTTTCTAGCGGTTATAAAACCGCTAGAAACGTTTCCCGAAAAAATTTCTAGCGGTTTGTAACCGCTAGTAGTGTCTCCTGCAGATATTTCTAGCGGTTCGTAACCGCTAAAATGTTCTATCGTTTTGACCATGATGTGTAGCGGTTGAGATAACCGCTAGAAATTTTTTCTAACACCTGTTTTTCTAGCGGTTTCGTTAACCGCTACAAATGTTATTTGTAGCGGTTAGAACCGCTAGAAATGTAACACCACGCTAGAATTAACATATTTTTTGTAGTGCCATCATCACAAAGATCAATCAATGTACTCTCATCAAATTTAACTTTATACTTAATCTCATATCCACCACCATCATTGCCTATCCACTGTGAAATTATTCCACACAACTCGTCTACTGTTATCCATTCTTTTATACTGGTTACCCTTACACTCCCTCCAATATATTTAACTATCCCTTCACCATTTGCTTCAAAATGTCCACCAATGTGCACGTAACAGAACAACTCCTTCCCACAGCTTCTTCGGTTATTGAAATCCATTTTTCATACTAATCTGCAGCAAAAATTTACGTTTAGTCAGTACGTTAGCTTCACTAATAAATATTTACTCATTTATTCCATCGACTCAACCATTTACATACCAAATTAAAAACCCGTGACCTCCTGTCTTCCCAACATCACTTTAGGCCTTCACAACTTCACTTTAGGGCTTCACAACTTCACTTTAGGGCTTGACGACTTCAACACCGAAAATCATGGTATCGTCATTCCCTCATTCCGCGGCAACACCTCAACGTTCACGGTCAAACTAACGGCCATTATCCAACCTACACTCTGCCAAACCACTACACTCTGACCCCTTCCCCATCGCAACCAGACCGTGCACTACAAATGACAGATGACCGTTCAGACTACGAAAACAAAAATATCCCACCTCCAACTAACCACAACCTCCTACATTGTCATATCTTTCATCTTCAACTACACCTCCCATTCCCTCCCTTCCTCCAGCCTACTCACCCACACAGCAGAGATGAAGATGGAGAATGTGACGATGTGTAACTCTTACAGGGAACAATACAAGAATGGTTTACTCAGTAAGTTAGTCGCATTATTGCCAATGTTCGAAGATCCCAATATCGCACATATTCGTTCGGCTCATCCTACTCCGCCAGCTCTCCTGCCACCCATTAAAATCCTGGTCTCTGCCTTCATTAACAGTCATGATGAGTGAGGGGCATTTCAGCCATTTTCCTTACATTTCATAATTGCAAATTGGGACCGGGTCCTCTGCAGCAATTTCTCAAATTGGGGGTCCCTGATTGCTATTTTATATATTGGGGGGTCTTTATTTGCAATTTCCCCTTCCGAATTCTCTCTAGTTCCGCGATGTTCTAATTTTCTATGGACAGTACTACAATTAGGACAGTACTACTGCAAGTGGAACGAGCGGTGTAGAAAATATCGGGTGTTATGGGTGGAACCGGGAAAACCGGTAATGAACCATTATTAGTTATTCTAATATTTAATATAAAAACTTGTTTAATTTTTATTTTTTTAGTCTATTTCAATTAGTCGCCTAATATTTTAATATTAATAAATTTTAATAATAATTTTAGTTATTAAGATCAAAATTTTTAGTATTTTGTTAGAGAGCCGGTTTAGATACGTAACATGGTTGATTTAAAATTAAAAACGAAGGGTTCACTTCAACCTCAATTATTCTCTCTCCTCTGGACCTACTTGGACCTGCTGTACTCTTGTAGCTTTTTTAAGACGAAGACCATCCAAATTTTCCGAGCCAGCGAACAGGAAGAGAGAAGCTAGGAGGGGAAGGATACGGATGGCTGCGGTGCCGTGTTTTCAACTAATAAATTATATTTCTATTTCTATCTAAAGCTCATTCTCTCCCTGCCTCACTCCTTTCTCAAGGTTTTCTTCTCTTTTTCTTTTTCTCCTCCTCGCCTCCTCTATCTAGATCTTTTTTATAAATCTGTTGTAATAATTTTTCAGTTCTAGCTCTGTAGATAGTGTTTATATTCAGCAGTACAAAATGATGAATATTGCTTAGTGACTGTATTTCGTTCAAAGTTCTTTTGTTCTCAAATTCCTTTCATTTGTTAGGTAGTAGCCCTTTCAACTTGAATCTTGTATTTTCCTTCCCATGAATCCTTTTCATTAATACTTTGACAGTGTTTTTTCTGCTTCTAGGGCTTCAAATACAGTGCAAATAATATAATTAAGCATCGTTGCAAAGATGGTTCCAAACGAGGTATTTTCCATTATCATAATTTTTTATCAAATTGTAATATTTGTATCATTCTAACATTTTTTGTTTACATCAGTTAGTGTCGTCTTTGCTAGTTATGGGACTACTGTTACTCCTACTCATAATTGGTTGGATGTCCAAGAGAACCTCCCAAAAAGCGAAAGTGATATAGAGGAGGCGCATCCTTAGTACCAAACCGGCAGCCTCTTCAGTGGCTTTGACGTACGTCTCCCTTCGTCTTCTCGGTCTTCTCCATCTCCGACGCCTTCGTTTTCTCCACCTCCTCCATCTCCTCCATGAAAGATTCTCCCATTGCCTTCCAAACCATCCATATATCCCAGATTAATCAAAATGGAATTTGATTATAGTAATGGTAAACTCATTCCCATTTACTCGCCTGCAGTGCCGTACGGGTTTATAGAGTTTTCTCCTGGTGGGCATGGAGTGAATACGTCCGAGTAGGCAGGTTTATAGGGAGTATTTTGGTGGGAATGAAGACAATAGGTGTGCGTGTGTGCATATCATTGGTTGATGTATTGGTTGATGTATGTTGTGAACAATATTTATGTTTATTCCTTAACTCTACTCACATTTTATTCTCTCTTCTCCGTTCTCCTCCATTCAAAAACAAAAAAAAGCCTTATAACAACCCAAATCTCTCCAAGACTTTATAAAATCCAACATGCATACCCATTTCCACTATTCCCCCGCGATGGCTAGGTTGTCAAGAAATAGTGGCTTTAAACATTGATTTAATTAAAACACGTTAAATATGGCAAGCAAGCCACACAATATTAAGTTTTGAGTGTTGAAAAACAAACAAAAATAATATAATGTGATTTTAATATTACCTGATTTAGAGGAGAGGGGAGGGATTTGGTTTAGTGAGAAATTCGAGTACTCTTGCGTATACCCAGAGTACCAGCACATCATCCCTGCTCTGACCACTGCTCTGGCCAATAAGACTATAACAGCTGAAATATTTTTATCCTATGTTAATCTATGTCAATCTACGTGTGGCACTCATTTTTCTCTTCATTATTTTAATTTTGTTAGAAAATACGCGCTCCTTGAATCTGACAATCTCTCACCTGTGCCGCTTTTCTTTTCTAAGAAACCTCTCCCTCTGTCTCCGTGCGTCCCACCCACGGCTCCTATCTCTCTTCCCTCACCTCACACCACCCTCTCTTCTCCCAATTTTTTTTTTTAAATGAGTAATTGTTACCATTACATCAAAACAAATCTAATCAAAATCAAAAGAAAACTATTTATCTACTATCGTCAACGTCCATCTCTTCTGTGTTCCCCAGTTCACACATTTTTCTTCCTTCTTGTATGTTTCCTCAAATAAACTTTAAGTTGCTTTTTTTTTAATTCATAATATTTTATTTACCTTTTTAATTTAATTTAAAATAGTAGAATTAGAAGCTATATACATGAATCTATTTCTTTGCATTTATAACATACGCTATTGATTTTTTCATAATTTTTATATTCATTTAAATATGAGGATACAAAAGGAGATATTATGAAACAAAAAATAAAGGTATGTGTAATGAATGAAATATATTAGAGAGATATTATGAAAAATCAATAGCATGTATCTATATTTAGTTCAATTTTTTTATTCATAGCATATACTCTGGATTTTTTTTATTCATAATAAATAAAACAAAATATAGATATACCCTTATTTTTCATTTATATATAGATATACCAAAAAAAAAGAATCACACACATATATATAGCTTCTAATTCTAATATTTTAAATTAAATTGAAAAGGTGAATAAAAGATTATGAATTAAAAAAATCAACTTAAAATTTATTTGAGGAAACATATAAGAAAGAAGAAAACTGAGACTTGGTGAGGTGAGGAAGGAAGAAGAGACATAATGGCGTGACGCGGGGGAAGAGAGGTAACAGGCGTGAGGAGAGACGGAGAGAGAATAAGAGAGTAAAGTGATGGAGGTGAGCGAGTGTTAGATTCAAGCAGCACGTATTTTTTCAAAAAATATTAAAAATATTAAAATAATAGGAACAGAAATGAGTGCCATGTAGGTTGTTGACATATGAGATAAAAATATTTCAGCTGTCATAGTCTCATTCGTCAAAGTAGGGATGTGCTGTTACTCTGGGTGTGTATGTAAGAATTTCTCTTGGTTTAGGAAGGGGGAGGCAAACTTTGCCTATAAGTTGATTTTGTGATTTTTTATAGAGTAATTAATAAAATACTCCTCCGGTCCTTAATATAAGACCCATTTAACTAATTTGATTAGATTAAGGAAATTAGGTTTGGTTAATTATAAGAAAAGTGACACATTTTTCCTAAAACACCATAATCATCTTTCTCAATACCTCATCTCCCTCTTCTATTTGATTATGGTTGAGGGAGTATCCATAGGGGTAGTTTAGAGAAAATTGATAAATATGAGAAATGGGTCTTATGTAACAACGAAACTACTACACTTATAAATTAATCAATATCAAAAAGTTAACCATGATAGAAAAGAAACTTTGTAAAAATATATAGAAATACTATCATGGTTATATAAACATCCTAAATCATATGAGATTAACCATGATAGAAAAAGAGTTAAACCAATCCATAAATATGTCTATCATGGTTAAAAGAACTTTTCTAAATTAACTGCATGCAAAACAATATTCATAATGGATAGGGCTTTGGGTATTATGAATCTAGAATATCATTTTCAACCATAAGCCCATAACACGATTTTTCTAAATAGTACCTTTCATAACTTTCAACACAATCAAAAGTCATTTGATGTCAAGGATCATTGTGGATTCACCACTCATATCAAACAAAAGAAATCACATGCAAATGCCTAAAGGCCTCCGGCCTTCTACTAGCATACAGTCCAGTAACAGTTCTCAAAAGTACACTGTCAAAATAATCAATCTCAAACATATCAGAGTATGTGGAATGGGCCCTATCATGGCAATATACATCTATCCAACACAATCAAAAGAGTGGAAGCGCTACAATTTTGCAATAGCAGCTCAAGCTTCCGGAGCCTTCCCTGACTGACTCGAACGGGAACTATCACCTGGAAAAGTGTTAAATCAACGGGGTGAGACAAAAGTCTCAGTAACCAACAATCCTACTTATCAAGCATACAAGTAAGTGCTCGTGACGTGTCAAGTGAGACAATTGCAAATTCATAGTATTCCAATAAATTTCATATTGTCAAAGCATATAAAAAGTACAATCAATATTATTTTCACCTCCCTTATATCCACCCACCTTAT